ATACACATTTATTTCTAGATATCCTATTTGGGGAACTTGGCCAACCACCTAGCTACCAAATATATCTCATTAAATTGCTCAACATTCTGTGGCTACAAACTTTATGAGACAGAGATCCCTATGAACTTTTTCCCTGTGGTTGAAAAGTGTCAACTTTTGATTGCATTTAAAATACGCCAAACAACTGGAAATTCAACTTTCTTGAGTATTTAGAGTGTGAGCAAATATATATAGCTAACAACAGATCTTTGTCCAACCAATCAAAGACCAACAAAATGGGCAATCAGTCATTTTCGTTGGAGACCACATCTTTTCTATCGCTACGAGGCAACAGTTAATATGACATACAATCTTATTTAGATAAAAAGAAAAGAACTCAAATAGAAATAGAAATACTCAATAGCATGAAGATACCCGTGTACAAAACTTCTACTTGGAGCACTTGCAATCAGTAAAGTAGAATTTCTACTAGGACTTTTTGCAAGCGGTATTAATATTTATAGAAGAGCGGAGAATAATAATATTCCTTCCTATTCACTTTAAGGTCTCATTTTTTTTTTTTTTTAAGATTAAGACGTCTGAATCTGGATACACATCTGAATATATTAAGATGTGTATTAAATAATTAAGACTGTTTGATTTTTAACATCTGAATGTATAAAATTTATCTTCATTTGAAAATTAATAAACATAAAATTCAAATGAAATACTAACTAATCTAATATTCTATCAATAAAATATATAGTTTTTTAAAATATGATAGTTGTTGGCGGTGATGGCTAACGGATGAATGCCGACTAGAGACAGTAGTTGGTGGTAGTTTTGGTTGATGATGGTGGTTCATGCTAGTAGCTAGTAGTGATTGGTAGTGGTGGCGATTATGATTGAGGATGGTGGTGGTGGGTGGTAATAGTTAATAATGGTGAGTGGTGGTGGTAGTAGTTGTGACTGAGGAAGGTGGTGGGCAGGTGGTGGTAGGTTATAATGATGGACAGTGCCGACTGTGGTTGTTGATGGTGATGGGGTGGTTAGTTGTGGTAGTTGGGGTGGATGAGTGTTGATTGTGGGTGAGATGATGGTGGTCGGAGTGGTGGGGATAGTGGGTGGTGATGGTCGATAATGGTGGCGACTATGATTGAGGATGATGGTGGCGTGATGGTGGTAGAGGTGGTGGTGGTGGGGGTTGTGGTGGTGGTTGAGTATGGTGGTGGCGGCGGCATGGTGGTAGTTGACAATGGTAGGCGGTGGTGGCAGTTAATAATGAATATGTGATAGCATCTTAATGAAATTAAGTCTCTGTTATAGATCATAATCATACAGACCTATTCAGACCCATTAAGTGCTTGTGAAGTTAAAAAAATAAACACACTTAATGATTAAGATCTGAATAATTAAGATTCAGACTTTAAAAACAAACCCACTTATTGTCTGACATCTGAATGATTAAGATTCAGACCTCCATTAAGTGCAAACAAATAAGGCCTAAGTAAATTTTTGGTATCTTTACACATATTAAGGAATCCATCTTTTAGCATTAATTAACAATTTAAGACATTATATTTAAACCTTAACGTAATTATTACACTAAGACATTATAAAAATAGGTATACATGGTTGACCGTATACATATAATCTGGCTAAAATACTCACATTCATCTCATACTGTATGAGGATATCAAGACAGAGATCGTTATGATCAATTTGACCTGTGGTTAAACAAGGGAGTAAAATTTTGATTGCATTAAAAAGTTTTTCAAAACAGCTGGAGTTCAACTAGTTTTCTTGAATGTAAAGAATGGAGAGGTAAAAATCAACAGCAGAGAGAGCTGATTTTTTGTCCATCCAATGAAAGACAATAAAAAATGGGAAAATGAGTCATTTTTTGCAGAAACCATCCCTATGTTTCCTTACGAAGTAACAGTTATCATGCAAGATATAAATTCTATAAAAGGAGGAAAATGAAAAAAATAATTTGGTGTATATGGATGGTTTAATTTTACAATAAATTACCAGGCCATATATCCATATATCTTGTTGAGGAGGTGGCTCCACTCATAATAAAACAGGTCAGAACCAACACCAGTTACCGACTACCAAACATAGCATTTACTTCTACTCTGCCTTTTCTTCACCAGCTACGTACTAGTGTTAGTTTCTTCTCATCAATTAGCTTGAGGATAGGTAGCCATTTATACTGCATTCAAGTAATAGCTTTATTTTTTCAATTAAAACCACTATACGTATACTGGGAAATTAAATACTAACATGATCTTGAACCAAATGATAGAACGTACGCAGCGGAAGCAATTATTCTTTCAGGCATCAATTATATGTAAACTAGACAATGCAATAATAACAAGATTAGGAACACTAACCTCTTGAAATAATCGCACAAATCTTCCAAACAGCAAGGATCCAGGGCTGCAGTCTTCTGCTATATGCCTAGTAAAACTTTAGACACTTTTGCTTTTGGGTGGGCAAGAACAATACCACTCTAGTTTTTTTTTTTGATTAGGTGAAACATGTCTCCCTTTTATAGACTCGAAATTAAGCCCTAAAAGTAAGCCCAAAATCGTGTAGGATTCTACAAGCAGAATCCTACTCTAACTCAAAAAGGGTAACTTTTCTCCCAAGCTACTTTTACCCAAGTCTGTCCAGGTTTTACTAGGTATAGCATGGACCACAGAAATAATAAGAGGCTAATTCTAAATTAGCATGAATTAATTCTTACTATAATTAATTGCAATTTATTCCACAATAAAACTGCAATTGAACTCCTCAATATGAATTTCGAAAATTCATCTAACACTTATTTTAACTCCCCATGTTAAGATTTCAAATACCGGTTAATTAAATTAAATCACTGAAAATTTAATTCAATTAACTAATTAAATCCTTTATAATTCCGCTTAAACCATCTCATGTGACGGATACAAAATCCACCGGCCGGGTTTTCACATGAAAACTTATAAGCTTATATAAAGGGGTATCATCAAACCCAAAACCAAGTCATGGATTCTATCAACTAATTATTATTCACAAATGTTATTTGTTATTGTCCAATTTATTAGGCATATACTAACTCTAAATAGAGTCGTACCTTTTGATAAATCAAAACAATAAACAAATTACATCGATCATAACAATTATATCAAGATTAGGAGTATAAGCTCATTTAATAAATTAGAGAAAATGTTTTATATGTATTCAGTACAAAAATACCTTTTCTCTACTTGGTCCGTTCAATATACACTGAGTATACTAGCACAAGAAGTTGGAGTAAACCTACTCCCATAATCAAGACAAATTATACAATAATCTTGTGCTACAATCATCAAGATATTTTGTCCGATAATATCTTCGATTGTGAACATAGTTTATTAATTATGAGAACCAACAATTTAATCTTTTGTGCATGAGCTAAAACTCCATACACTAAATTGTCTACTACATAATTAAAAGGACACACATGTTACAAATGATCTATTTAAAACAGTGCTTAATTGAATTGAATAAATTAAATAAATAATTGTTTCATAATGAACAAAATATTATACTATGTCTAAACCGCATAGTTAATAGTATATCCCTAACACCAAACTCCCACATAAATGTAAAACTTACATTGGAAGAGGTATAATCATAATGTGAAGTGTGAACGATACTTATCTAATTAAAAACTAGAAAGACTACAAGTAGAAACATGTGCCTTTTTTTAGTTTAATCATTCGGTGAAACTAACGGGCCCGGAGCGGACTTAAGGGGGAGAAAGGGGTTTACCCGAACTCCTTCGCCGAAAAATTACAATATATATATATAAGGTAAAATTTATTTTTATCTCTATATATTATGTTTTAAATTCCCATGACATAGTCCCAAAGTATAACTTAGCGGTTAAGGTTATTCAAAACTTTTGTAAGGTTATTAGTTCAATTAGCAACGATGCCTTGGTTAGAGGTCGATCAATATATGAACGTTTCATGTCATTACGAGGAACTAGAGATACGACAAACAGTATACTATAAACTTTGTACTTAGTCGCATGTGCATCAATTAAATTTTTTGACCATATCAAACCTCAACAAAAGAATGACCCGGCTTCTCCTGTTAGTCACAATCTTATATTTATTCAAACGAGCTTGACAAAGATCTGCTAAGCATAAGGAAGACCAACTAAATGTTTAGATTTGTCGTAACTCGTGACCTTTTTATTTATTTATCTTAAATGATTAGACCAAACCAAGTACAGAACCATAAAGAGGGTTGTTAAAGCTACGCTTTATGAATGTTTTCCGTACAGGAATCTTTTAATTGCCCCATTAATTCAAGTTAAATTGAGCTATGAACAAAACATAACCAAGAAGAGAAAAGAAAAAAAAATTGAATGTCATTGTTTGTTTCCTCTTTTTTTTTTGATTTCTCACCCTGTATTCGATACCACATTGGGGTCCGACTAATTCGGATTCGCGCCAGGAAGTCCCATCTAAAACAGGGCCTTCCCTGAATTGTCGTGGAGTAGTCATTACCTTTGACGAGTGTCTCCCAATTAGGCCACCCGTCACTCTTTCTTTGGTCAATGAGTTATCCTTTTTTTTTTCTGACATTTATTGCGGAAAGTAAGTAGATAGTTACTCATAAAATGCTTGGTAATGTACAAAAGTTTTACACTAGCAATATTATTAATTAAATACTTATATTAGAGTATTTTACTTTGTTGCAGTAGAATATTTAGCATTTTTATGTTACAATATCGTATTTGACGTGATGTTTGTTTACCTATTGTTGTAACTAATTTTATATAGTAGTATGTAAGTGCTAGAAGTTAAATCGTTTATTGTAAGGAATAAAAAGAGATGCGAGTGTTCGCCACTCTTGGCATGTTTAAAGCGTAATTGCTACTACTATAAAAGTTGAACCAATTGTTAATGAGCATAAGAAGTTTTCTTGATACATATATAAAGCAAGTAATATTCTTCAGCACTATATTTCGTGACACCAAGTGAACATAGATAAGATTTTCATTGATACATATACTTTAATATTTTGGACAAAATATGTCCCACAACCATTAATTCTAGGATCTAGTGAGGCCACACACCTTCAACAAAAGCAAAATTATAAGAAGCATTTATCCATGTAACACAAAAAAGAGGCAACCTAAGATCTAATATATGGTACACCACATGAACACTTCTGGAACCCAAACAAGATCTAGCTAATTGCTCAAATTTTTGACCTTGGCAAAATAATTGCTTTGAGGGGATTTTTCATCACCACAGTAAAAGCAAATGTCTCTGTCGGGTCGGGTGGGTTGTCGGGTATGGGTATCCACTTGAACTTATGAACCATCTTAGCAAGCATGAGGTTAATATGCAACGTACCCAATGACCAAGCGGGGCAGATCCGACGACCCGCTCCGAATGGCAGCATCTTCACACCTCTCATTCCGGTGATGTCCACGTCAACTCCGTCTCCAGTCAAAAACCTCTCCGGCCGAAACTCGCCGGGATCTTTCCATAAACTAGGATCCTCCGTTACCCATGCAGTGTAAAATTCAACATAAGCATCAGAAGGGATATTGTAACCTCCTAATTGAGTATCATTTGTTACAGAATGTGACAAGACAAAATGGCTAGGTGGATGTCTTCTAAAAGTCTCCTTCACAATGGCTCCAAGATAAGGCATTTTCTCAACATCACTTTCTGAAATGTCACCATGTTTTCCAACACAATCAACTATTTCTTTGTAGAGTTTTTCTTGGATTTCTTGGTCCATCACTAAGTGAAGCAAAGCCCATTCTAGTGCAGTGGCACTAGTATCAGTTCCTGCACCTATTGTTTCTGAAACAAGTGTGATAATTTCTGCTTCTCCTAATTTCCTGCCAGGAAGTTCAAGACTAAATAATGAATCAACATAGGCTGCACCAATTGGACTCACCATTTCTGAACTGCTGCTTTTAGGGTTCCCATTGCTCTCCACAAATGCCTTTCTGTCTCTTACCTGTGATCGAAGACATAAAATAATTCAGTAATCAACTAAAAGGGTGATATTTCTAACGACTTAAACTTTTAGATAACAGGGTCACACATTTCAATATAGTACTACCCCTTCCACAATAAGTGATCAATTTTGCATTAGACACACCCATTAAGGAAATACTAAATTCTAGACGAAAATAGTTAATGTGACTAAACTACCCTTTATTAAATGTTGCACCATAGTTATAGTAGTACTTACTTCTCTTCTCAAATTTGAGGAGTAAATGACTTTTTATAGATACGTACATAAGGGTAATTTTGGAAAAACAAATTGATTTTTTTCTTGATTATATAAATAGACACTTATTTTGGACCAAAATAAAAAAGCAAATTGGTCACTTATTGTGGACCATAGGGACTTCATATATGAGCGTGCAAAAGGTTTTTGGTTCAAATCTCCCAAAATTATTTCTATGTGTTTGGCTAAGAAAAAGAATCATGCAGGCCCACACACGTGAGGGACGTGTTGAGACATATATAATATAATTAACTAATTATAAGTGTACTCTCTCTAACAGTTTAAGCTTACCAAAGGCACTAGGTATTCAAGTTGAGTCTGTCTTAGCTTCTTCGCCTGTTTCACTTGACGACGAAACAATGGTGTGAGCAAGGGCAAGAAGTCCGGCAGCTGAGGAGCAGTGATGAGCATAACATCTTTGAGTATGCTCTCAATTTTCTTGATTCTCTCTTCAGAAATTTTAGCACCAAAACAAAGGCAAATGAGAATGCTGCATATAGTGAGCCTACAATTAGCCATCACCTCCACAAACCCCTGTTGAGAAACTTCATTTTCAATCCTTTTCATGTGGTATTCCATAGCCCATTTCCTTATCCAACTGCACTGCTTGATTCTTGTAGGGTTTATCAACTCAGTAACGAAATTCCGCCGGAGAGCGCGCCATAGAGGGCCGTACTCGGCTGAGTTAATGGCACACTTTCCAACGCTAAATATAAGGCGGATCGGTGAATCTGCAGGTCGACTAGCAAAGAGAGGGCCATTTTGAACTAGGGCTTCATGGATAAGTTCAGAGCTGGTGATTATAACAAGGGTACGTTGCCCCATTTGCATGGTGAAAATAGGGCCATATTTTTTACGTAAATCACGTACTATAAATATGAAAGGGCGACGTTGGAGAATAACTTGGAAAAGATTTCCTACTAATGGCCAACCAGGTGGCCCTGGTGGGAGATTTTTCTTCCCACCTCCAGTCACTGACCAATATTTCCACCATACACACAAAAAGAGAATAGCTAAGCCAAGTGTTACAATGTCCATTACCTCCATTTTTTTTTCAGCTCCTTCTTTTTCTCTCTCTCTCTAGACTTACTATATTCTTTTTGGGCAGTGTGAGGAAATTGTGGTGTGTATTGAAGTGCTTATTTGTTTATAAAGACGATTGGGAGGGATGGGAGTGAATGAGTTTATCTACCTACTGGTCGTATATTGATTGCGTATTCAACAGAAATATTTACTATAGACGTACCTAGTCATAAAGATTTTAGTTACTTGGTAGGAAGACAACTATATCTGACATCTACTTGACTTTAGATTTGAGTTATATATTATCAATAATTTTGATAGTATTTAATTAAGGAAAGAAAGAGATTAATTTGAACCTGAAATGTGTTTGTATGTTATGGAACACTACTAGAATTCCGCAAAAAAGCGACCAAAAAATATCGACCAAAGTTGGTCTGAAGAGAAAAGCGACCAACGTTGGTCGCCAAACTAGCGAAAATAATAAAATAAATAAATGAAACAAATTAGCGATCAAGGTTGGTCGCAATTTGGTCGCTAAATTAGTCAAAATGTTGACTGGACTGGTCAGACTTGCTTTGTCAAAGGTTTACTGAGATTAGCGACCAATGTTGGTCGTTAAAGTGGGACCCACCTTCAAAATTTTAATAATTATATTATTATTTTAAAAAAAT